CGACCAAAGTCTTAGGGAGGCGAGAGGTTTCAAATATATTTTGAATGATCACAAGTTTTGTTTCTTGTTGAAAATATTCAAGTTAATATTTGAACATACCGATGCTGTTTTTTCTATTCTTCATAATAAATCAACAGATATTAATTACTCAAAACAATGGTCAAACCATTTAACAGAAATTTTGATGAATTTTATAAATAACCATCCATTTTTAATACTATTTTCGAATCAATTGATTTAACTCTCGAACCGCCGGCGCCGAAAAAAGAAAAACCAATTTAGACTTACCCGATTTGAGACAAAATTATAAAAAGATTTATAATGGAATATTGGACACCTTTTCAATGCAAATCAAAGTTAGATTTGAAGATTTACTTAAATTAAACTACTTTGATTTGTTGTTGTTTGAAAAATGTTTGGTCCTATACAAAAGATTTTCCCCAAATACTTTATAACGACTCAATAGCTCAGTATCCATTTTTCGATGTTATTCAATTGAAAAATGAATTAATCGTAATATACAGCAACCCTCAAATGTTTCAAAATTACAAGTCTCCTTCAGATTTATTAAATTTTATGTTTAAAAATGATTTGAGAGATTGCATGCCTGAGTTATATAAAGTTATATCTATAATTGTGACAATTCCCATAACATCAGCGTCAATTGAGAGAAATTTTTCAGTATTGAAAAGAATTGAATCCAGTAGAAATTAGATGACTCAAAATATATTGAGTAATATACCTCTTCTTTCAATTGAAAAAGAGTATATAGAAGTGACAGGCAACCCCCGATTTTATGATAGCAATTTTTAACAAAACTGTTATATTAGAAGAAAAAAGTATTATTTATTGACTGAGAAAAGTTCATTTATATTGAATAACTCAAAGACAACCCTTTTTCCTTGTTTTTGTTTTTTTAATGGTCAGTTTTATACGTATAATTTTCGGCAATACACAATTTTTGTTTGCATTTATAAAAATATTACGGTACCCCAAAAAATTTTCGCACCTCCGGCGGGCTTTTCTGTGTGTATAAAGTCTTTATGACTTTAACCTCCCCTGTTCTCCAATGCACGAGCCGTCACTGCCTTTGATTAGTTTGATCTTCCTCTTGAAGATGATCACTTGGTGATCGAAACACGTGTCAATGTGTTAAAATAATGGTTTGGTGTTGGGAAAAAACTGCAGTAATATTCATGGAGTATAACTTATTCATCTACGATTTCTCTAATCAATAACAACTTTAACGTTGGTGTCATAGTTATTACGTGAATATCCAATTAATTAATTAACATACGAAGAATTTTCTAGAAAAAAGGCACGCAAAATTGATTTTCTTTTATATAAATATCGTATACATGTTGGTTAAACAATAAACATTCGGAACTGCACTAAGGAAAATACTTCGTTAATTCGACCAATGCACTGAATCGCAATAAATCCCTTAAATCGATTCAAAATCCACGATTACCAATCCACGTGGCTCTTATCAAAAAACGCGTACAACTCGTAAACAATTTCCATCGATGAGAACTTATCGTCATATCTTAGTCAAACAACCACAGGACCCCACTGTAAAGGAAAACAGAGACGGGCCATGTTATTCGAATCGAAGGTCAACGGCCCACATAAACGTTATTTGGTAAGTTGAACGGAACGAATCAAAATGCACTTTTGCGGTCGCCCAAAAAACCATCGGCCACAGTTAGGAATATGAGGAAATTAGAGGCGTTTTTAAGATTTGACATACCTAGCGAGATATGTTCATTAATGCACATATAAATGAGATTTATTTTATCACGTCTCTACTACTTTCTCCACATCGGTGGCTATTATAGGTTTTAGTTTTAGGGTGACTGAATTTTCAAGGAACGTTTGGATTCCTGTAAATTAAAGGTTACCTGGCAAGTTGGAATTACATTATTGAAATGAAAAGTTTTTCAGTTCATCATTGTAAAGTTATACACCAATCACGACAGAAAATCCAACATTCATACGATATACAGTGTGTCAATTTTAAAACTTACAATGGGCTATATCTCACGAACGAAAGCTGATGTCGAAAAATGATTGAAACAGTTTCTAGGATAGTAAGGGGGAACTGAAGTGACATGAAAGAGAACTCACCCCCATCAACCTCCTAGACCCCACCCACCAAAACACAAAAAGTTGAAATTGCAAACCCCTACNGATAGCATTTTTTATAGTCTTTTCAACGATGTATCACAAGTAGGAGTTTGCAATTTAAACTTTTTTTGAGTTTTTGTGGGTGGGGCCTAGGGGGTTGATGGGGGTAGTATAGTAAGGGGTTCCCCCTTACTATACTAGAAACGGTTTCAAGCATTTTTCGATATCAGCTTTCGTTTGTGAGATATAGCCCATTGTAAGTTTTAAAATTGAAACACTGTATAGGGCGTTCCAAAAAAAACTTGACCCCCCTGTAAGTCAGAAACGGACGTGTAATCGAAAATTTCAAAGGACATGTCATTTTTTATTTCTAGGGGGACTAATTCTGATATGGAAATCATACCCGAAACTTCACCCCCCTGCGGTCAGCAACTACCCCCCGTATTTTTTCAATGGCATGGGGGGTCGAGTGATACACCATTTGAAAGGTATTTAGTCTCTCTATTACTTATGTATTTTTTTTCGAAATTGATTCATTCGTTATGGAGAAATTAAATGTTGAACGTTTTATTTAAGAAAAAAAACAGAAAATTCGCTGTCGCTCATTTTATTGAGAAAATCAACAAAAGTAATATCAATGGCAATACAATCAACGGATAAAGTGTTCAAAATGACCTCCCTCTAGTTCCATACAAAATAAGTCTACTTTCGAAAGCGTTCCTTACATTATTGAAGATGTCCGGGGTAAGAAATCGGCATTCCCGAACTATTCTTTGTCACAGGTCTTCTGTTCAACCTTTTGATGGCTCACGTTGTGGTCTGGATGATTCGTATTATAAATTCTTGCAGCAGCTTTAGCACATTCATTATTTCTATAATAGGTTGCAACAAATTCTATTCTTTCTTCAGTAGAATAAACCATGTTGGAACACAGTGAACAAGGATGACTAAATAATATAATTCGTGAAGAAGTGACAGTGGCCAACTAGATTCAACAAAAACTACCAGTGCAGAAAAAACTAACAATATCGTCCATTTAAAAACGTTTACGACTAATTAAATAAATTCTAAAAATCTATAATCATTAAACCTTTAACGTCATTTAACAAACATTTTTTTTTTCAAAGGGAATATTTCCTAGTAATTTCAAAATTTCTAGATTTGCACCTCCATTCAAAAAGGGCTGTAGATCAACACCAAATAACTACCGCCCGATTACATAATTCCTATTATCGGAAAAATAAAGCACCACCATAATTTTTATTTTGAAAGTCGTTTTCATTTTTGTGAGTCACTATATGATTTTCGTAAAAATAAGTCCACCACCAAAGCTGTTTACCAATTGGTAACAAATATATTCGAATGTATTCAAAGAACACACTTAGTCATTTGAATCATTATAACTATTACTACCTGACAAATTTCTACGTTATATTCTACATGATATATCATGTAGAAATTTGATATGTTCAAAATATTTTTTTGCCAATGTAAAATGTAATACTGTTTATACAAATTATGTGTCTTGCTTTTATAGTAATTTGAATCATTATAACTATTACTACCTGACAAATTTCTACATTATATTCTACATGATATATCATGTAGAAATTTGATATGTTCAAAATATTTTTTTGCCAATGTAAAATGTAATTTTCGTTATTATTGTAGTCAAAAATGGCGGTACTTCATCTCGAGAAAAATCCATATTTTTTGACAAACCTCGTATAGGACTGAAAATATTTGATAACCATGTTTGCATTTTAGGCTTAATAGTTAGTTGTTTGAAATAACAAACTTTTACTTTCACTTTTTTTTACTTTAAAAAGAAACCATTCATAGATCACACTTTTACTTGAAAAGGTGGTATATGTATTGTGACAACTTTCTTTAAGTGAAAGATAAAGAAAAAGTAAAGGTTTGTTGTTTTAACCTGCCATTGGCCCTTTTTATGACAATAAATTTACTAAAATCATATAGTTTTCATATGATTCCAACTTATCGAGACATACTGTATTATTCATTTTTATTTAAAATATCACACAAAAAAATTATGATTTTTCCACTTGTAGATAGGTTTCAATATAAATTAGATTGACTCTAGGTGTTTGGTGATACAGTCCACATTACCATAAAAGGAAAATCAGGAATTAGTTATACCTACTTGAGGAAAAAAATCATCTGTCAACAAGTGGCTAGATTTTCCATGCAGAATGAAGTCGAATTAACACTTTTACATTTGGAAGTATATGTGAGGAATCCGGCAAGTCGGTAGAATCGATAAACATTCCAAACAAAGAATTAAATTCTGAAATGGTTTTTCTCGCCCAGGTTATCTTGAAAGTAGCGTTACTTTCACGATTCCGTAAAACAAAAAGAAATGGAATTTCATTTTGGCGAATCGCCGTATCATTTGTCATTCCATTGTCCCGCAATCATATAAAATAAGGAAAATCAAAGGTTCCATAAAGGGATAGTAGGGTCGATATTTGGACACCATATCACCCGCATACATTGATAAGAATAAAACTTAAACGTATAGAGATAACGGACCACTCGAATCTGGCTAGCACTGAAGAATTCGTCCAAAAAACGATTTCAGTGCGATTATTTCAGGCCGTGCTAGAATCAAGAACGAGCAAGATGGAAAATGAACTATCTTGACTTATCAATACAGTACAGTGACAGCTCGTACTCGATTCCATCAATATCGAGTTGTTTTTAAGAATGATATCGGAACACACGCAGGAATGATGAATGTAAAACAATCGTAAACATTTGACGTGTGCAATACACCTGCATTCACAACATTTACCGTATTTATTACACCCTTTTGCCAAGGACACACACAAACTGTCATCGAGTCCACTTACCCGAATGAGGTTAATCCTGTTTAATTCGCCAGCGGATCACTGCAAGGGCCTGCCCTGGTACACTACCGACACTTAGCACGCCCATTTTGCGCGATTTGATTCAATTTTAGGTTAATATCAACAAACAAATAACAAACTTTGTATTAATTTAGCATAGGGCGAAGCCAGCGCTAGGAGCACGTACGCGCACGACCCAAGTAGATGAAACTCTATGTTTGCGCACGCGCAACCACAGCTGATACGCAATCGGGGTTGCCATGTCTGGTAGTTTCGTTGTAAACTAATGAAAACATGGAAATGGTATTGTACATGACAGAACCTAGAAACGGACCATTATTTGAAAAAAGTGAAGTTAATATTCCAATAATTATTTTACTACACATCAAGATTATACAATGTTCACAATGAATTTTATTTCAGACGAATTAGACAAATGATTGATTCCAGTAAAATAGATAGATTTCGAATAACAATCACAATACAAAACTTTAAGTTCAACAATGGTTAAAGAATAACTCCTTGTTGGTCGTTTAAAGAGAAATTTGAGTGTTTCTGTTTATTGCAGGTTAAATGTTGTCATTTTACTTGAGGATGGTTTAATAAACCGAAACCGATCGTAACAAATAAAAATCTTAGTACAAATTAGACAAAAGTTATCTTCTCTATTCCATATTTAATATGAATTTCCACAATATGAATAGGTCATCAATCCAACAAGTTAGATTTTGTCCTTTATTTTCTATATGTAATATGTCGTAGTCTATGTGGTTGTGTTCTGGAAAATGGCAAGCATATGTGGAATTGGTTTTTTTTTTCAGCTCAACACTTCTTTTTTTGAAATGTCTTGAAGTCCTTTCTATGTGAACTCTTGGCAACGATCCACATGTTAGTTTTTAGACCCCTGATTTGTTATCTTTGTTCATTTTTGATTCGTTGTTCTTCATATTTTTGGGAAAGAAAGGTATTGGTTTTATACAAGGTTAGGTTTTTTCTTCATTATTAGCATTAATTCTTGCCCCCCTGCCTCGATCGAAGACTAGAAGATATCGGGTGGAATTAATTTTTTCATCAGTTCAGTTTTTGAATCATGTATTTATCTCAATTTGGTTGAAAAGATGAAGGTTTTGGAATTATCAATTACTCCTTTGTTCAAAATATACTTTGAACAAAGTTAGGTTTCTTTCTTCGTTATTAGCATTAGTGCTTTGCCCCGAACTTCACTGTTTAAGAACTCTCTCATTTGGAGAATTGCGTTTATGTGGAATAAACTTTTTGAGAACGTTTTTCCAAATTAATTTAATCTCCACAATGTGAATCGCTACTTTCGCACAGGCACCGCTCTTAGAGCGCCTTAAGGATTTTCTGTAGTGCTTGTGTTTTGTCCTTAAAGGCAGTTTCGTAAAGTATGTTATTTTTCTCAACAGAAGCATCATGCAAAGCATTAAAGTCCGAGATTATCCCAAAAATGGGTTCTTATCGGGCATTTGGAAGATGATATTAATTTTGTTATTGGATGTTATAGTTTCAATTTATTCAGTAGGCATGTCCTTCATATGTAAAGAGATCATTCAAAGACCAAATCACTCTCAAAAAAAATTTACCTAACCGGTTGATGCAGGTGTTTTATAAAAACATCTACCTATTATTTAGGAAAAATTTTGGAAAACAATGATATGATGTGGCACTTCAAGTTATTTGTCATGACGGAGGATTATTATATAAAATAAAAAAAATAATACAATCTGACTCCTATGTTATAAGAAAGACGCCTGATTTCATCAAAATTGTGGTTACGCAGAATCGTTTTCACCCTCACTGTATTTGAAATGTATCATTCTAGATTTTATTTTTGATTTTTGCTTTGCCACTATTACACTGTCGCATTTTTTGTATATAAACCAATTTCTGTATTTTTTAAATTCCTTCTTTCCTTACTAAAGTTATTGACAATTTTGAAAGCTTGGCAACTCTGCGGTGGCCATCATTGACCAAATGCATGTGTGCATGTCATTTTCTAACATTTACATCGGGTATGGGGTGCTTCCACATTTTGGTTTTGGCTAATGTTTTTTTTCCATCTGCATTTGAAAATTTGAATCGTTTAGATTGTCTGATTTACAGTATCATATATTTGGGAAACACTTGAAAATTTCGATAATCTTTTCTATTAGATCCCACAAGTAGCAAGACAGTTAAATATGAAATTAGTAATGAACTCTTTAAATTACAAAAAACTTGAATTTTCTATTTTAAATATGGATTTGACACCCAACACTAAGATTTTGAATGAAATATGTTTTTAGAATGTCGTTTCAGACGAAAAAGTGGATAAAATAGTATGGAACAATCATTTTTTACGTTTGATTCACAATTTGCAAATATTCTCGCTTTTTCTCAAAAAACCTGAATGAAATTATTCTTGAAAAACGAACCATGTATGTTATGCAGTGCCATCTTTCGGTATATTTGCAACTTACCCGCCAAATTTTATCAGCTGTCAGAATAATTTCTAGTTTTCTTCAAGGGATATCTCAGTCTTTCACTAGAAATATGGAGGGTAGAAGCTTTGTATATGTCTATATACAAAGGTGCAAGCCAGGCTCCAACCTGATCAAAACCAAGATGACTTTCCAGGTGCAAGTAAGGAGATCCATCTCAAGTGAGGATTTGGCAATTATAGAGAACGTGAAAAATGCTGAGATCGAATATTTATTATTTTCAATGACTTGAGTTGTTAATAATATAAAGCTTATTGAAGTATAACTATTCACGTAGTATTATTTGGTAAATGAAACTTAAAGTCAATCTGAGATAACGTTAAAAGTCAATGAATCGATGTATTTTTTTCGAAAATACTTCCATTTCGAAGCATGAAGAAATCTTGAACGAACTAGAAGATTCTATAATTCGTGAATGATGCATTACTGCATCATTGTCATTGTATGCAAAACAACTTTTCCGGAATATTTGTATTACCAGCGACATATTCAGGGACACACAAAATTTTGACATTTTTATTTATTGATATCTAAAAAAGTCAGAACTACAATGGAATTATTTCTTTTGAGTTTCTACTTCCATTTCATCTAGCTCCCCTCATTTTTTAACTCTTAGCGCATCTTTCGAAATTTATACTTTTGCTATAGTGGCGCCTCCCTAATTCAATGGCTTTGAACCACAGAACTATATCTAAATTATAGTTCTGTGCTTTGGACGGACACTTTCTGATACACAGAGATGATTTTTCTTAACTCTACTTTCCATAAGCAGAAAAACATATGAGTTATTTCAATAATAATAATAATAATAATATGTTTATTTACCAGCAATAGATAGAGTTTCCAATACATCATATGCAATTTCAGATAGAATACAAAAAAAAACAATCAATTAAATGAAATGTTCTAGATATAGGTAATAAACATCGAGAGAACCCATTAAAACCCTAAGGTTGTGCATGGGAATTCTTTACTTATTGTATTACCAAATAATCTTCGAACAGTATTTCAATGAAACATGTAACGTTACTAAACCGGCCTAGCTATTTAAAGTTTCGTGAATAGTATTGATTTTGGTACTTCACAGAAAAGAAAAACCAAAAAGTAGTGTGTAGAAAACCCAGATTTGAGTATTGTGTTTTGTGGGTACTTCAAACTCTACTCTTCGGTTGTTTTACACATAGAACACAGGATATTTGCACATAATAGTGGGACTTTCCGTTAATCTTTATTGTGAACGTCGTTTGGAATTTGGACACTGAGTAAATTGAAGAATTTATTGATTTGACTACAAATACAGATGCAAAAAAATCTTTGAATGCCCTGGAATAACTCATTATGATCCGTATTATTTTTTATAACATTTCTTGGATTATTGTTACCAAAAATTTAATTTGTTTTCTTATCAATATACTACCTTCATTTGAATTGAAAGGGGTATATTTTCAACAGAGAATAATTTTTGGGAAAGCAAAGATTTTGCCTTTTCACTTCTTCATCTTTATACAAAAAAATGTGGAGATCTTCCAAAGATAGAAGATTTAAAAAAACTCTATATCAAGATGTGTAGATCATGCAAAGAAGTAACTCATTTCGGTTGCATTTGTGCAATTTTTATAAGAATCTCTATTCATGAATGAAATATACCTCATGTTATTCGCTGATGATGTAGTTTTCTAACGATGAGTTTTTAAATTTGGTTAAATAATTTTTGAGTTTATTCATTACATATCTCCAATATCCTAATAAATTATTTGTGAGTGTTTACAAACAGAAACCAAAATTACCATCAGCGTGAACTTTTTCAAACACCTATTTGAAATCGATCCGAGAGGATTATAATTCGAAATTTAAAAGTTTACCTCCCTGTTTTTGACGGATGCACATGGTTCTATGTAGTTCTTCTATTGGCCACTCTTCCATTTTGAGCGCTTATATCTCTCTTTGAGTATACAATTTTCCTAACCAAGATGGTACGTTGAAAAAAATCGAAAATTTCTCGAAGAATCGCAATTTATTTCACAATTTTCTCGTTAGTAGTGATTAGTGAAAGTCTTTAAGAAAAATTATGTGCATTTATTTTTCCTGAAGTAACCGCACTTCTCTCATAAAAAAATAGTTTGTGTGGCAATCAGGGGATGACAGTTTCTGTGGTTGTTTAGAGAGCAAAACTGAACTTATTTTGTACTAAGTTTGTTCTTCGAGGGTGAAAAAGAGTTATTAGTTGGAAGGAAACATGGTACTGAGATGAAATTTGTGAAATAACTTGTGAATTTGACGAAATTCTGATGTTATTATTACTTAACCTCTCTCGCGATTTACTCAAATTTCTCGTTATGTTTCAGACGGAGGGAACAGCGACGATTAGGACCCGAAAGTTCATGACCAACAGATTGTTGGCTCGGAAACAAATGGTCGTTGATGTTTTACATCCCGGCCAACCTTCTGTTAAAAAAACGGATATCAGGGAAAAATTAGCCAAAATGTACAAAGTAAGTATCCTATATCAAGTTTGAAACCTCGCCAAATATTTTCATTTCGTTCTGTAGGTTACTCCAGACGTATGCTTTGTATTTGGATTTAGGACCAACTTTGGAGGCGGTAAATCGACCGGGTTTGCCCTTATCTATGACACATTAGATTTTGCCAAGAAATTCGAACCAAAACACAGGCTGGCACGACACGGCTTGTTTGAAAAGAAAACAGGCACACGTAAACAGCGTAAGGAACGTAAGAACAGAATGAAGAAAGTACGAGGAACGAAGAAAAGTAAAGTTGGTGCTGCCGCCAAGAAGGTATGAAAACATAATTATTTCAAATCTTTGAATTTATTTCAATAAAGTAGGAAACATAGTTCTTGATGTGAATCTGCAGTAAACAAAACCTAAATGTAATGCTGTATCCTGTTTATGCACATGTTAACATAACCACAATTATTCTTTATTTGATATTTAACTATACTATTGAAAATAATTCAATAAAAAAATGTTCAATACTTTTAATTCTTTTTCCATTTATAATAGATACAAATTATAACAATCGTGTTTTGGTTGGTTTCCGGGTTTTGCTGTTTTCTTTGGTTATACATTCTTCAAACAGTTCAACTGCGGCAGTTATCTTCAGTGGCATGGTCGAAGTACAGTTGAAACGTTTGTGAAGATTGTAACCAAAGAAGACCACGGCGAAACCTGGAAACCAATCAAAACATTGACGCCAGCCATGAAAGCCTACATTCTTATAACAATCATTTTGAAAACGGGTAAAATTCAGTTTTTCTCATTTGAGCAATTTTTTTAAATAATTTTTGTTGATGATCATTCAATTGAAAAGTTTCAGAGATATACTTTCAATCTTTTTGAAGTGGATTGAAGACATCAAGATAAATTAGTTTTTTTACTATAATTTGTATTTCAAACATCTTGAAATATTTCATCATTTTCTTTTTTCTAGGGTGGTAAGAAATAGATTGTTCTATTTCTACTTTTGAAGTATAAATCGAAAGGTTTGAACCTTTTGTTACCCCAATTTTCACCTCCTTCGACAGTTTTCGTAATTCCATTTTGATTTTTTTACTAACAATTCTGAAAGGATTACTAGTGGTCATCCTCATTTTTTAACATTCCCAAGTATGCCCGGGATGAAAATGAAAGTGTCATATCAACTTTTTTGTTTTGAATATGCATTGCATTCATTTTTATCCTGAAAGACTATAATTAAATCACTTTCCAAAATATTTCATTCATTAATGTGAGTGGTTATTTGATTTTTGTCATTTTTGCTTAGTTTAGAAATGTTTTAAAACTGACTTGGATTCAAAAGGTCAAAATAATGTGCGAGTATTTAGGTATTATCACCAGAAATTAGACTTATCATTATTGTTTTGATACTGTTTTTTGCTGTCTAATATATTTTATTTTTCAAAATTCAGTTCAATTTTGAGCATGAAAAGCAGTGATTTTTTATTCATCGTTCTGTGTAGGTTTTACTAATTTTTTTTTTTTTTTCAGTAAATCATTTGTCCTCTGGCTTCAGATTCATATCATTGTGTGGCTCTAATCTACAACTCGAAGATAATGGTTCTATATTTGTGTTGTACAATAAATATTGTCTGAAGTTCAAAATGTATTTGTATTAACCTTTCCTAAATAAATTTTGGTTATTACTTTTCNCGTTCACATATAGTAGGAATATATGTGAACGACCTACTGTCATTTATATAGATTATAAAAAGGGATGGATCCCTGAGGTATTCCATTATTCATAGACCTTTAATCTGATAAATTACCATTTACGTATACTGTCTGCTTTCTAGATGAGAGCTAAGACTGGAAGAATTTCAAAACTGATCCTCTGATACCATAAAATTCAAGTTTCTCTAATAGTAAATGATGATTTACTCATTCAAAAGCTTTGCTCAGATCCCACATTGTTTGAACCGTATGGTCTCCATTTTCCACGTTTCTGATCACTTGTTGGAAAGCGACTACTTCCACGGCTGATACTACGCTGGGTATTGAAATATGTTTGAGAGATATTTATTCAAAATACCTCACAGAGGTTAGTCTTGTAGATATTTCTCGTTTATCCAGCAGCAGGACCATGCTGAAATTATTCGAGTAGATCACCTAAAGACCAGTTTCGAAGTACTAACTCTTATCAGTGCAGGAAAGATCACGAGACACGTCTTTCGGGCTCTTGGCCCATCATCAGTATGGTAGCTCGGCGCATTTGTATTTCTTTCTTTAGGCAACCATGTGTTGCCAATCATTTCACTTTGCTGCACCATACTGATGATGGACCAAGAGCCCGAAACACGTGCCTTTGGTTTGCCACTTTCTCATGTGCTATGTCCATTTATTAACTTCTGTATCTTTATATAGTATATGTTTGTGAAGATCAAATCCTTAGGTGTAGTTAATATGGATCATCAAGTAACAGCCGAATCAATCAGAAACAAAATTTTAACAAACTCAGGCAATTTTACATCTTGAAGAATATCTTGAATCTCAAATTTTATAGCAATGATTTTTTGTTTACAGTTAAATGGAATATTTTCTGCCATGTTCACACAACAGAAAATAAACTTCGAACTTCATTTCCATATGTAAACCTTCAAATCTAATATTTTTTGAATTCTTTAGAATCTGGAAATAATAAAGACGATTATAATTATAAATCAGACTACTCAACCCTGGCTTTTCAACGGATTCACTTGTTTTATCCCGACGTGAGAAATGACATTGGCTTTATAAACTTGTCAATTTATAGCAAGACTGGAAGTCTGTGATGCGTCTTTCGTGGACACATTTATGGGCCATAATGTGAATCTCTTGATATCAATTTATTCCTAAACGTAAAGATTGAGCCCATTGAGGCGCCAACTTGACATGGTCAGATATGTACTCCAGCAACTGTGTGAAACTTACGCAGGATCTCTTCATCAAGAGTGCCCTGTGACAACAATATATGTGTTGAAAAATGTTATGTTTTTCCGTTAATCAGCTCAAAAGTCGAAAGTAGTACGAACTATGGACTAACAAGGTCTTACCTTTTAACGTGCGATTCCTAACAAAATGGCCCGTCTCAACCTGCGAGCCACAAGGATATCTTATTACCGGAAGTCAAGAAATATTTGAAATAAATCTAAAGAAATGAACTTTAAACGTTCAAGCCAGTCTCAGATATACCTACACATTAGGTTGAATAGACTGACGCCTATCAAAAAACACTACTCCCCGGCTAATACCACGAAGGGAGTTGGTTTATATCCGACAGGCGTCAATGCAGTAATCTTCACAGAAAATTTCCTGCATATGCAATACAACTGAATTAGTCGACTTTCAATTTTGGAACGGGCACACTTGCAGGCCGGTTTCGGGCTCATTATATTCTTGAAATGGACGGTGTTTTCATCAATTTGATGCTATGTTGAAAGCTCTCGAGAGCAATTCAAATTTTTTTGATGGATTGCTTAAATAGATAAAATTAATGTATCGAAAGGACCAATTGACTGTGTTTTTGCAAATTTGATTTTATTATTTCAACCATTAGATCAATTGGTCGACTTACCGATTAAATTAAAAACATAGTTTTCACGCAATTAGTGAGAAGGTAACAACTTCTTCATAGATTGTGAAAGGGCCAAATTGAATCAGATTTAGTTTGACATATCGTACATCCAGAATGGAAAAGACAACTAAAAAAAAAGGACGTTTTCAGGAAATCCTGGTTAGTGTTTTCAGTCGCCTTTTTCATTCTGGATGCAATATCTTCATCAAGAAGGTTGATAAGCAAAACAAGCATCTATTGATGGATCTCAGATACCAATACTTACAAATAACACCAAAAATCAAAACCAAACACTCACTCTGAAACATTTTGAAAATAAAAAATTTTTGTCTCAAGAACAGTTATATATTTCCCGTTTATATCAGTTGTACAAAATAATGAAAAAAAAAAAATAGAAAAATCAATGAAAAAAAATTTGAATTATACACCTATGATATTTAAAAGTATCTCAAATTACATTGTACAAAAAAAGAATTTGTACAGCTTCATTTACTTAATGACTAGCACCCGAGAAATACCAGAATTTACAAAACTACCATCGCAAAGCGATCGAGAAGGATGGCTAAAAAAAACCAATCTAGAAATCACTGCGACAGTAATATCCAAGAGAAACGAACTGTTCCTTTTTTACATTTTACGGATTTTTTTGTATTTTTTTCAACTTTATGATTCTCCCCCTTTGCTCGCAATCGGGAAGAGAGACTTTCAAGTTAGATGTTTGTTGCAATCAATTTTTTTGGGTACGGCCCCCGCGACGGGTTGGTCGTCTGTCTTGGAACGGGCGCCGCGTTTTCTTAATTTTTTTTACTTTAATTGTTATGAAGGAAAAATCATTTTTGCAGCAAGACATAAGGTCTTAAGACGCTTCACGGACGAGCTGACGAAAAAAGAATCGGTTTGTCGCCGCTTTCAAACGAGTTACACTCTATATCTACATTGTCCAATTTATACAAATGATCCTTATGCAAACATCGATGAGAATATAAAAAGTATCAAAAATGTATATTCAACTCTCTTTGGAAGCGCAAGCGTCAAACCGGGCTGCTGTATGCCGCCTTGTTGCTGATCACCAAATTAATTAAATAACACTTAAAATCGCCATGAAACGCCTTTTGTCTGCCATTTTTACAAACTCACGCGCTAAACGTTGTTAACATATGATTATAATAGTGATGATGGACTTGAGCGCGATAACGCTTAAGCACTGCTTTCTGTAGTTGTATTCTGCACTGCCTGACTCTCCTGAAACAAAAAAAAATCAGTCTTTACAAAATATGCAAAATGAAAAATAATTTTGTTTCTTCAAATAAACTTTCAGTGATGAGGCAACATCTAGATTAGGATCCTACCCACAGATCATATCCCAAAATATTTTGCTTGACATATCCGACATGTGATATATATATCTAATAGAAAATGTTATTATCAAATATTCCGGACACATGTCTTTCAAAATGGAAACTTATTTGCACTTCAACTAAATACGTTATTTGCTTTAAACTTATTATATTATCATATAACATTCCAGTGTTTAATTTTATAATAACTCAAATGTTTGCCAACAGGAACTTTTTTTTTACGACAATATATTTTCGACTCTATTCACAAGTTCATAACTGTGTGAAACTGATTTTAGCGCTGAATGCATTCATTTGGTAAATATCTTTTTTCTTCATTATTTTGTAAGATTTTGTAGTCCCTATTCTAGTATAAACATGAAATAAAATATATCCTAATGTAAAACGATTCCGAACAATTAATTAACAATCAAATTGAAATCCAATACATGGATTTCATTTTAAATCAACAATTCAAAATCATTCACTTCGTATCAATAGCATTAATAAAATTTCCTATAATTTTTTTTAATTTCAAAATCCTTAGTTTCCCACTGTCAACTGTCATAATCATCCTCAATATAACAATCCCTGTGATTTATAATGGATTTCATGTAGTTGTTCTATCCAAGAGATTATTGATTGTACCATTGAAAAATGTATAGTGTTTCAAACTCACGAATGAAAGTAATGTTAAGATAACTAGAATAAATTCAAACACATGTATTTTTATACTTCCAGATGAAGAAAAAGCAAAGCAAAAGCAGTGCAAAAAAACATATGACCAGTTTCTAGATGATAATGATGAATTTCACACAAATAAAAAACCACATCATATAAGTAATGTTTCTTACTCAATAAACATACATTCATTCATTTCCTTATACAGTTCAATATCCCGACGACCACAAAAAAAGCCACTATAGTTTCAAACTAATGCATACATAAATATTAACAAAGCAAAAACATCTAACGACTACTTACTTCAGTGTTTTCAGGTGCAGTGGATTCAGGAGCCTAGAATTACAATAGAAAAATAGTGTAGAGAGAGAGACTAAAAAAAATACTTTCAGGGCAGAGTTCATGCAAGATTATATTGATCTATTCAATGACAACTACTATATTCATTCCAATAGGCAAAGATAATTCATCTTGGTATTTTCGTGACAGTGGCAGAAATCAAACAGGACAAGAAGAGATGTAATAAATTCTAAATTCAAATTGAGTAAAAGATTTCTGGAATAAGATTTTTTTTTAATATGAAATCTTCAAAAACAGCTTTGAAAAAGATAGCCAAAAAGATTTTTTTATATAAATTTTGATTTGGCAGTATGATATAATGTAAAATAACCTTGAAAAATTAAACTTTCTATGTTTTTATAACACATATCCTGCAGTTTTGTCGAAACTGCAGCAACGTTAGTTACAAATACAAGAGGTATTAAAATAGAAAGTTTTATTTCTCATTTTCATGATGATCCACTACCACTTAGAACAGCTACATCTATCAATTTATTAAAATAACCTTGGTTATAAATAAATCGACATGCCATCAGATTGAAGAAAAAGAGCAAAGGAGGTAGAGATGAAAGAATATAAATAGAAGCGGCTAAAAGATGAAGCAGAAATATACAATTTTTTTTCAAAAAATTTCAATTTTATATGAATTAGATCAAGAGCAAAGTTATGATTTGATAGTATGTATGTGGCTACAAGTGAAACAGGAACAGAGTAAGATTCAAAGGTTTGTCTACAAAAAAAAAACCTTGCTCAAAAATTCAAAACAGTTGTATCACACGGACAACACTTGTCACAATCTAACCTGAAACAACAAACACATTATGCTCTTACCTTGGGGTTTGGTGGATTTCCAGACTCCGACTGAGAGTTTCCGCCTCGTGGACGTGGTGGTCCGCGTTTTCTGTAACGCTGACGCGGTGGTCCACGGGGTCCATCCTGACCGTTCTGCTGCTCTCCAGCCTGGCCCTGGCTGTCCTCAGATCGTGCACGCATTCCTCCGCCTCTGCCGCCACGGAAGTTTCTGGAAAAGCTTGTCAATCAGACACATTATTCATCTTTTCAAACAGTTATGAAATAAATCCATTCAGTAAATGCAAGTAATAATATATAATTTGTTTTTCTGAACTGAGGCAAATTTGATAAAACCGAACAAAATTGCATTCATAACTAACAAATTGTTAACTCCCAATTTAGAACTCTTTCAAATTAATAAACATTTTAAATTCAGGAAACAATAATAATAATAGTATATCATTTTTTTTTTTCAAAAATAATCTTAATAATACTGAGAAGGCTTATTTTACCTGCGGAAAAATCTTCTCGGAGGTCCGCGACCGCGTGGAGCGTCTCCGTTACTCTGATCCTGCTCTCCAGGGGGCCCTCGGTAGGGTCCTCTGAAGTAACCGCCTCCTCCATATGCTCCTCGTCCACGCCTCGGTCTATAACGACGAGGCGGGCCTGGAGGACCGCCTTCTCCGCCCGAAAGTGCCCCATCCTTCCAAAGAAAACAAAAGTTAAGAGTTGACAGAAACCTTTACGAGTTCAATATCAAAAGGTGTGCAGCAATGAATCGCTCCTATATAAAACATTCATTCCCAAGAAACTTACAATGGTTTATACTAGGAATGTATACAATAAATATATAACTTCAAAGGGCGCTAATTGACAACAAAAACAAATATGAAAATGTAAATGAATACAACAAACAATTCTTTATTACCAATTCAAATTTTTTCAACTTTGGAAATGTTTTGTCATTGGCAATTCATTATAGGCATTACGAAGTTAATTCAAATGACACGAAAACTAAATAGTTACTGAACATCCAACAGTTTCTTGGTATGACATGGATAGCTTTGTGTAATTCACAAAATCTAATCATTATTTTTATGTGGGAGGTTTCAAATAGTATCAACTAGTAAATTTATCAGACTCGGTATATTAGTATTTTATTTAGCTGTTCGGATTGACTTCGCATAGACTATACAATCTATGTTCCAAAATAATTCCATTGACGGACTATCTTCTTAAGACAGAAAAAAAAAGGTTTATTACGGTTAACTTTTCCCCAAGTATGGAGGATCTGGTACTTTGGTGTTATCTTTGGTCGAATACTCAGAACTCTTAATATTGATATTTATTGAATACACCAATAAACGGTTTGTCATTGGTACGACAGAGTTGGTACTAGAACGACTAATTATGTTACACAAATTCTATTTAAATGACTTATAACGTGAAGATAGTAAAGCCAAAAGACAGCTTGTGATTGGCTAAAGAATGGTTCATAGAAACAACCAAGCCTTTGGAGAACCCATGTCGTTATTTAGTTAAAACATGAAGACAGTGCCAAGACACTAGCTTCATAATAAAGCAATCTAATATTTTTGGGAAATCTGAAGGAACACTTAATACTTCTATAATTCTTAAGGTTACTTCTGTCAACGGATTTATGGATATGGATTCTAAAATGTGGGAAATTCGCAAATTGTTATAAGTTGAAAAATATAAATAGTGGAAAGCTTGAAGTAGACACAAACATTTTTTGAGAAAGACTAAAGGTACACTATTAGGACCAAAACTAACACTTTTCAGTGTCTGACAATTCATTGAAAACATCAGACAATCCAATTCGGCAATTGGTGAGATTGAGGGCGCAACAATTTTGCTTCTCAAGTATCCCACAATAGGTATCAACATAAACTGAAGTTATTAGCAAGAAGGTTGACAATACCGAAAGTGTTAACACTAATTTCTTCATTGTAAAACATTCAGGAGGGACAGGAGTTAGCATTATTTTTCATATAAGCGTGTTTTCAGAATGATATTTTTGTAAATGCAGTTTGTGTTCAAAACGTTATCAAGATGAATAAATGGAGGTTTTTCTAATTTTGACAAGAATATATAATTTGAATAATCAGAAGATTTGTTATGCATAATTAGCTTTGACGACTGCACCACTTTTAGGAAATGAACAATAGTAATAGTAGACAAAAAAAAATACAGCCATGATAGGAAAACATTTTCATGAAAAAGAAAATCAATAAATCTGGAGTATTATTATTAGATTTCATATTCAATTATGGAATTTTAATGAATTCAAACTTTAAACTTGGGAATTTCACTAAAATTCTACCATTGACTCAGAATTCATTAATTTTTTTCCCAAGATAATATGTAGCCCTTTAATCGTCCATTGAATATTTCATAACTATCGAAAACATACCTTAATTTCACTTTCGCTCTGGCTCTCTCTCGGAGGGCCACCTCTGGACCCTCCTCTAGGCCTGCGCCCGCCTCTCGGGTAGTACCATTGCCTGTATCCTCTCCTGCGGTCTGCGGCATAGGGCGAACCTCTGACTGGTTCGCCGTTGGGACCCGTTACATTGGCAGCTTCGTTGCCCTTCTCCCCTACTACCACACTAAATTCCACGACTTCACCGTCCCCTACAGAGCGGACAGCTTTTTTCGGGTTATTCTTGATTATGGCGGACTGCAAGAGAAACATCTTGTTAACAAAAGTACAAAATTATAGCATGATAGGAAATGTATATGAATGGTGGGAGGACTACATGCAAGTACGGAAATCGATTATTTGTTTGTCAATTTCAACTGGAAACACTCCTCTCAGATGTTGAAGAAGCTGTCAAACATGTTATATAATGTTATTTATGATGCGGTGAACCATTCTGTTCCTGTAAATGTTTTTAAAGCCCCACCTATTCCTGCATAATAAGAGAAAAGACGAAATTTCACAGAAAATATAAACATACAGGGGGATTATAATTATTAATGAATTTTGTCAAATTTACTCTGAGCAATTTCTATTATAATTGAGATATAGAATATAAGATAAATGAAAACCCCAAATTATTCTGGTAATTTGTTAATAAGAGAAAAAATTACAATCCACCAAGATTGTATAACTGATCTTTCTGCTACATACTTTCCTTGCGTTCACTTGCCATAAATATGGTGACATAGAAATACCCCATACTATGAAAGATCAGTTAAAGTTCAGTAATTTTAAAATCAATATCTTTGTGGTTATTAACAATAGGTTTTAAACAACTTTCCATATAACTTTTTTTTTCAAACTTGATAGTGCCCAGAATTTTTATAGGAAACTGTATATTGGCGAATCCAGTAACAACTTTGATTCAACCTCTCTCAACTTGATTGTCTTTCCTATTTACTGTTATTTTGGACTTTTTCATTTTGTTCAACTCATGACTCAGATTTCATACCCCCCTTAACATAATTTTACATACATTTTGTTGAATGTATTTGACAAACAGTGCACATTCATGATACTTAAATGATGAAATTCAAACCGACTTTAATAACAGTAATTTTTTATTAAGTGATGCCTACAGCCTCGTATTGGCATAGGGCTTGGAAATTGGTCATATACCTGCCTTTGAGAGCAGTTGAGAGCCACATAATGGTTTGTGAGAAAATAAACGGTCTTAATGTAAATGAAACAAAGAGCTTCATATTTACTTGATGTCTGTTGACTGATCAGACATTGAAATTTTTACATTAAAACTTATCTGATTAATAAAAAAACGTTTTTATTGAATATTTCTTTCAAGTTTGCAATTTTAAACCCCTTGCGTATCCCCTTTTAAGGAAAAACATCATTATTCTATAGATAGAGAATCAAATTAAAATTATCAGAATGCATTACCAATATTTCACAATATTACAACCTTGAATCATAGCATCCAAAATTTTAATACATCTGAATCATCATTAAAACAATAAAAAAGTAGAAAGAGGTTATCAGTTGTTATCACTAGCATTAGCAGTTAATATTCATCTATAACTGAGAATATACTAACAGTTTTTAATGGGAATTTTAAAAATTGTTGCAGTTGTAACTCTCATTCGAAAGAAGACGATACTCTGTGAAAACAGTCACATTGTTGGATTTCTAAAATACTGGGAATTGAAAATCAAGTTAAAATAAGAAAGAAAGATATATCTATTTACTATATTCATACATCAGTTGAATATTTTAATTTTCTCATTAAAAAAATTTTGATCCGATTTTTTAAAATTAGAATGATTGCATAACGCTTCCGACCATCTCTCATGATTTCACAATGAGAGAAACAAAATTTGTAAAATCAAAAAACAAAACTGTGAGTGAGAATATAAAATATATTCTCAATAATAAAGAGAAATGATCTAAAAAAATATATGGAATTTTCAAATTCTAAAGTATTTTTCAAGAATTACTACATAGAGCAAAGAGGGACAAATTGAGAGCCAGTTTTGTGAATGGAATGACCATCATTATTTATAATACTTTTTTGTGAAATATGAAATATTCGGTCTACTAGAAAAATATGTTTTACTTGCTCAACAAAGACAAGATAAAATATTTTTTTCAGTGGTGTTGGGAGAGGTGAATTCATTTTATATAGAATAATTGAATAGACTTTTCCTCAGAAGAAACCTATTGAAACTTCTATAGAAGTTACGGAAGCTTATTCTGAGTAACTTTTTATTTTGTATTTTTATCCTAAACTCATATAGTACTGGAAAATACCTGAAAATATACTTCAAGTTCTGCAAATTGTTATTCTAAATATATGTGTTCCCCTTGAAACAACTAACGATGCTTCATTAAGAAAAAACATCACTGGAACAGTTGTATCAAGGAGGTATCTTAATATAGCACACTTATGACTCAATCACCTCTTATTATTATTCAAAGGTGGATCTAAGGAGCGTGCATATTTTTCCACAGCGAATTAACCAGAATATAGTCAACTTCTCACTAATAGGATAAGTTCGCATATAACTAATTGAAAAGGCAGAAGACAAACATTTTCCAGATTGCAGTAAGAGAATTGATCTCTAGGTAAAATGTTTCTTAGTACCAGGAGAATCAGCGTTAAAGGTACTTTGATAGTTCTAACATTTCATGTTTCAGAAGTACTGATATACCTACTATTTTATTTTTGTGGGAAAAAATAAGGGAAAAAGATCAACTATTTGGTTGAAGCCCAAAAAATGTTCAATGTGATTTTGAAACTCATTGACCATCCTATCAATATCTTTCATTTTATAGTTATTTTAAACTTTTTGACCATTCGCTAAGAATTTCATTCTGGAAATCTGATATTCAATCATCATTACATTATAATTGAAAAGCTAATAAATTAACTTCAAACTAATCTTGAAGAAATATTTTTCTTAGGATATTTTTTTCAAGATTGGGTTTAAAAAATACACTACAACTTAGAACTAGTAAGTACCATTTCTATCTTTTTTACAAAAAGTTGATGACTAACAATGACATTCATCATAAAATGAATGATAGAAAATTTAAAAATACTCACTTGGTGAACAAAAACGTCTTCTTTGGTATCGTTTCTGTTGATGAATCCATAACCACTCTTGACGTTGAACCATTTGACTGTGCCAGTTACCTTAGTTGCTGTTGAACAAAGAAAGAAAATAGTATTGTGACCTAGTCAGAAGTCAACAAGAAGAAAAATGACTTGTGAAAAATTTGAAATTGACAGTTAGGGCGTGTATCCATTTGTAGTCAAAATTATGAAATTAATCCTGAACAAGCTACAATTTAAAATTATGAAGAATTTTAGAATACACTAGAATAAAAAACTATATTCTATATTTGATCATCAGAATTTGGAAGTTTGCCAATTATTCTTTCAGGTATTTCTCTCAATCTTGGAAAAACATTCAATTCATAAGTTGTTTGGTAGTTATTCTCTTATTATTTAACTTCGTATTGATGTATCTCATTACCGAACAATACAAATTTTATTTGGGTTGTTCAAAAGAAACGCGGTATGCTTCAGTGATCACTGCCCAAAAGGTAGCGGTTATTATGTCTTCATTAAAACGAAAGTTTCTATTTTTTTGCTCAAGTTGGAAGTTTCCCGGGTATTGATACTGGTGGAGAATAAAGTACAAATACATCTTATTCTCATTCAGTTTGTTTTCCAAACATTTTTAATGCAATTGAAACAGATATCGCATACAAAAATGCTGCACCACATAAAATATTCTGAAAGAGTATTGATATAAATTTTGTTAAAAAAAAAAGTTTTCAACCCCAAGATGTTTTGGGAAAACACTTATATACAACTCCCATCAGCACCTTTTTTGATGAATTTGAAAAATAATTCACTTGATTTTTGAAAAAACTTAAATGACATTTATGTCGCATCTGCTTATGTTATAATGACAGATTATGAAAAAATACATTCATACAGTTAATTTTCAAACCCATCTATAGTAATTTTGTTCAAGTGACAAATATTACAAATATTTTTTATGAGTGATTAGTTTTTGGTAGTATTTTGACAAGGTAGTTTGAAGTACACCTAATCGAGTTTTCTTTGGAAGTGTTATTGATACTCTTTCATGTATAGAGTTTCAATTCCAATACAAATGTTATCTTGTAGTTTTTGTTTATGGTATTTTTTTACTTTTTTTTGGGAGTGTTTGACCTTTAATATAATGATGGAGAAGTAAAAAGCTGGGTTTTTTCTCAAGAAAGTTATATTTTTTGATGTTTTTGAGTGCATTAAAGCAATACATATAAATGGTGTAAATTGTAAATGTGTTCCCAAGAATCTATAAAGTGTATATTCAACTGGAAAATACATAATATACCAGTCAAAAAAAAAAATCAATACACAGTATGAAAATAAAATATTCGTTTTCATAATAGACTTGCATTTATTCTGGGTTTATGAAACGTATGAAACTATTGACAAATTCAATAACTTTTTTATGATGTATGATGGTATCACATCCAAAATGATGTAACAAAAAATTTTTCATACAGTCTTGTTCTATAATAATCATGGATATTTTCTTGAGTGATACATCTCATATTAGAATATGTTTTTGATGTTACTAACTATATCAAGTACATAATTTTTTTACTGATCAACTCTCAAATCCCTATTCCACATTTCTCAAGTATTCAATTTGAATCACATCAGTCAAAACCAGTGACAAAAGAAATTTACAATGTAATGAAAACATTTATGCAAAATGATTTCAACAATTAATGCAAAAAATGTATTATGAAGCTTGATGCATAAAAAATAAGGCTGCGTGAGCAGCTAAACGCAAAATTATGTCAAAGAAACTTCCAGGATATAGAAATCTAAAAATAAATTATGACGGCCTGAAATCGCGATCACTGATGGAGTGAGAAAATTACTTATTGGATTAAAACGCACGAATTTTCGGAACCCTCGTCTTTCTAAAACGTAAATCTACACAACTTATAGCATAAAACAGAAATGGCGGCCAAAAAAAAAAACTGACAAAATTCTAACTTGACAATTCAAAATCCGAATTTACAAAAGCAAAACAAAGCTGCCAGTTCGGTCAAGCATTCCTACAACTCAATTTTCGGCAATTAGAGCCGACCAAACGTGAGAAATGGTCGAATTGAACTCATTTTTGGCCATGTGCTCGAGTGTTCATTAAAACATGGACGCCGCAATGACAATTGGCCCACGCCAAAAACCGAATATCAACTTTTAAAAGGAATTAAACTCTTACCAATTACTTCCTTCTGTTTTTGGATTGCCTTAGGTTGTTCCGACACTACTTGTTGTTGCTCCGCTTCAGCCATGATGGTCGGGCCGGTGGAAGATGTTATACCGCTACCTCACCTAGACGTTATTTCCTTCCTCTCAAATTCAGATGTTCAAAGATCTTGTCGCTTCTTGATTTGTTCGGGTTTATATATCCTCGGTTTGATCAAGTAACGACATACTTGAATAGTTCATTTTTTTTCTTCACATGAACCATCAAATTGTAAGCAACTCACGTATGTCGATATTTATGCAGTTGATGCTTGCCTATGAATTTTGAAAGCGATGCCCTCTTTTAACTAAAAGCGGAAACTTTAGAGGCCGCCTTCAAAATGACATGAGTTTATTTCTTCATTCTCTGAGATAATTGAATTGATACAAGCCAAATCTTTTGCACACAGAAAGATTCCATAAATTCACACATTTGAGTGAAATGTGTATTTACAAAAATGTAGGGTGAACACTGTTGAGAAATACTGGTGTTGCAGGTTTTTTCTGGTTTTTCCTGCAACTGAAAAAGCAAATGCGTCACTGGAATCAATAGAGTCACCCCGGAGCACCAATTCATTTTTGTTGTTGTTTCATAACTTCATGATTTGTATTACTTTCTTGAAGGGTTTATGAATAAATTATTCAGTTTTGACACAGGCATAGGATTGTTACCTACGCTGTGGTTTTGATTTAAAATATTCCATATTGCCACGAAACGGGCGACATCTGAGTTTGATAATTCGACAATGAAACCCAGGGAAAACCTTAATAATTACCTTAGGAGCCCGTAATTTGGCTAAATGCTCCTGCCCGGAAGGAACGGTCAACAAAACAGACAGAGAACCCTCTCTGGTAGAGAACCCGTAATCACAATTCAGAAATAAAATCATGCACTGAAACATTTGTCTATTATTTCATTTCTATGGGTCATGAACATTCAAACATGATTTGACCACTCCTGATAATATATTCCTTTCAATTTAAATTATGTTCTTGTGACGCATTGTTTTTGAAACCTTCGGTGTAGTAGTAATGAATATTACTGGAGTTTGTCTCAACACCAAACCGTTATTTTCAACACCTCGACACGTGTTTCAATCACCAAGTGATCATCTTCAACAGGAAGATTGAACTAAATTATATTTAGTAGTTTGGTTTAATCATCCATGGTATGCTTCGAGCATACCGAGCGTTAGCTACAACGTATATTTTCGTGAAGACGTTAGCACAACTTTGCGGTATTGATTCATATAATCTTTAATCAATCGAACAAAATAAAAATTGTATTCATTTCCTCAAAAGTGTCTGCTTACAGTAATTACTTCATTATAATTAACCATCGTGGGCACCAATTCATTGTGGATTCATCAGAACTGTCAGTACGTTCGCAAACTTAAGGCGAAAATTTGACTCCAGACATAAAGTTTTCGTTCTCAACTTTCACAAATATATTCTTAACATTTACGGATTCAAATTGAAACCTCTTAACTGGACAAAAAGTTACGTTTTGTTGATACCTCGATTCGATCATTCCCGCTAGGAGTTATTTTCTATCTCTGCTCGATATATTTTGATCGAGTAGAGAGAGCAAATAATTTTTAGCGGAAATGTCAGATCTGGAATTAGTTTAGTGTGAACATTACACTCCTATAAAAGTCTATTTCGAAAAGAAAGGTACATATTTTGATTAATAATTCTAGGTTAAGTTTCCAGATTAAAAATTCAAGAGTTTGTTTATTGAACAGGGAAAAGTAAACAGCTGTGTCGGTAAACTGTGTGTAAATTTATTTTTATCATATCTACTGTTGAGCCTTAATCAGACTAAGTGCTTTATTTGAAAATTAGATAACATGTGAAAATCCAAATAATTGAATTAACACCAAAAGTGGAGATAAAACAGATTCAACGTCGATGCAAATAGGTTGATTACATTTCAATCATTTTCATTCAATATCCTGATTAAAGAAAGACACACTATGACTGGTAATGAAAGGAAGAATGTATGTCCATTGTTGAAAAATCCTGAACATTATAATCCTGATACAGTCGATCTTGTTACTAATGCCGAAGAAAGAAATTACTGGTTACCATGTTTGGAACAAATGGTGAAAAAATTTGTCGGCAAAGCCCAACCTTTGAACCCGGATGATCCGAAAGCTACAGAAAAGGCGGAAATATGCTTCAAACAGTTCCATAGCCTGATCGAACAAGTTACTGAGGATCCTTCGTAAGTACCAATTCCCTGATATAATATTCTCATGTTCTTACCACTTTCCCAGAAATGTTCTTTGTTCAATGCAGATGAAGCTAAATTCAATCATAATATTGGAGGATGATACCAAAATTCTGAAGAAACATTCCACTTGAGATATGCTTCTAAATCTAATTTTGAAAATCCATCAAAACTAGAATCAACTCTTTCATCAAAAAATATAAATTAATAGCTGAAAAACAATATGGATTCCAACTAAACAATTCTATTGAGGTGGTTATTAGTGTAGTAACACCAAAGATGTATGGAGCACTTATACACGGAAATCCAAGTACTTTTTGGAATTTTATTAAGAGTAAAAAATGCAATTCTAGAATTCCCGGCATTATGAAGGATGACAATAACTCTTATTCCAAACCTCAGGAAATCGTCGACGCTTTGCGAATTATTTTATCTCCCTGTGTGGTATGCTAGATAACTTTCCAAACAATTTTCTGGGTATAAATATCGAACATATTAATGAGATAGATATTATTAAGGCCACTAAGAAATTGAAAAACAAACTAGTTGTTGGACTGGACCACATACCGAGTTTTCTAGTAAAAGATTGTATCCACCCTTTATTGAGCCCTTTGCTTCACATCTTCAACCTTTCACTGAAAACATCTACGTTTCCGGAGATTTGGAAAACAGCACGAGTATGTCCTATCTTGAAGAAAGGGGATGCAACTGTTATAAAAAATTACAGGTCTACTTCTATCCCAAGCAATTACTCGAAACTTTTCGAAATAATTCTATACGGTTTTATCTTTATCTCGATCAGAAATATAATATTGGACGATCAACATGGGTTCGTGGAACAAAAGTCATGTGTGACCAATCTTGCATGCCTTTCACAACATGTTTCAGATGCTTTAGACCAAAAGCAACAAGTTGACGTAGTTTATACGGACATGCAAAAGGCGTTTGACCAAATTGATTTTAACATCCTCATTCAGCGACTATCACACTTCACAAACTGCTAAACAATAAGATCTCGTGTGCCCCTCTTTTACAAATAATCAACTTCCGCACCCCACGCCTTAATTCCAGATACAAAACGACATTTTACTGTGAGCTTGTCAGAACAAATAACAGTTTGAAAGCATCAATGTCAATACTTTGTAACAACTATAATTTAATATGTGATATGTGCGATATTAATCACAGTTTTCAAAGTTTTATTTTAAAATGTATTCTCACTAGAACCTTTTAACTGTGATCACTTTTTCTTTTCGCTTCTTGTGATATATTTCTATTTCTACTTATTTTTCTTTTAGTTGTAGCAATCTTTTTTTTTAAACTAATTATACTGTTTTGTATTTATTTTCATCAACACCTTTGTACATTTGTGGTAATTGGGTGAATGCCTGTTGGAAATGAAGTGCTATCAATCAATTAATCAATCAATCAATCAATCAATGATACTCCAGTACTTTATATTGCTGATAACTGGAAATAATTGAAACAGAAAGATTGGAGATTGGAGATTGGAGATAAATGTTATCATCCCACTTCTGTGAACTTCAGAATTTTTTTGTGGAAAATATTTCATTGATAGATTGGTAATTCGCTCTCAAATGAAACTAGAAGTAGGTAAAATAAATGAGAAGTTAGTACCTCCGTCATTAACACAAACTATTAGACAAAAATACTACTCATTTTTATTCTCTGTAGTATTCAAAATCCTACCATTACCCTCAAAAACATAATTTTAATTTTTTTGAGTTGAATCGCTATCAGTTCTTGAATGATGTGGAAAGGAAAATCATAAATTTTATAGTAGATAACAGGAAATTATAGTAAAACTGAAGCTAAGGAAAATTTTAATTGCGAACCCAGTTGTATTGATGTTGATTGAAGTGATATTGAAATATTCATCCCTCAAAATCCTATTATCATTCTATTTTATTATTTTGTACATCGTTGTTTACTTGAATTTATTCATATCTCATAAGATTATATGTATAATATGAACAGTTTGAATCTTCCTTGACGTACATTTCCACTCATTTTAATGTGTTTTGATAGATAGTGAAGTACCCGCTTATTTTTGTACTTTCTGATAATATTCATACAGCTTATGTAATAATTCCAAAGCTGAAAACAGTTGTAGGAAACACAGACATCCTGTTGCGATGTTGCTTAGTTGTATATTACCTTCCATTCACTTGTAATCAGATAAAAATTAATGAATATTTATTCTTTAAGGATTACAAAGATATCCATACGAGTGTAGAACACTTCAATCAAAATATTTCATGAAATGAAATGAACACAATAAAAATTTGAAATATAAACAATATAATTATACTCAAATCATGGTACACATATTTCAAGTTTTACATGGATTAAACTAGACATAATTTTATAAAAATGTGTAATTACATAGAGAAAAATATACAAAACTATTAGGATTTGATGTCCAATAAATGTTCATCAACTGAAAAAAAAAAGTTTTTCTTCAGAAGAAATGTTTTCTTTTTCATTATTAATTCAATTTTTGGAATATTATGTGCAGCAAAGGACAGTTTATTGTAAATCATGTCAATTTACTATCAATATTATAAATGCCACTGCACTTTTTTCTTAAATGGAAATGTCAACCCTGCCGACATAAACCCATAAATATTTTTTGAAAAGATCACACTCTGAGAAAATAAATGTCTGAGCAGGAATATTGGGAAATCATATTGTTGGTCCCATGTATCTAGAGGAAAATCTGACTGGTGATTTATATTTGTAAATTCTTCAAAACCTCATTCACCTACGGATTCAAGAAATTGTGGCCAACAATCAAAGTGAATTCGAAAATCCAGTTGTTTTTCAACGGTGGCGTACCACAGGGATCCGTTTTGGGACCCCTGTTGTATACACTGATGGTTTTGTCACTGAAGGTATTTCACGTTCGCCGATGACACGGTCCTTTTGTACAGTGGATATGATTTACATTTACTGGAGAACATAGTTAATGAAGATCTCTCTAAATACTCAAATTGGCTTGCACATAATAAACTCAAGGTGAACTCTGCAAAAACCGTTTACATGCTATTTAAACAAAAAAATAGAATTTGTGGAAATATTGAATTAAGAATAAATAACTTACCCTTAATGAATGTTGCAAAAACCAAGTATTTGGGACTCATAATAGATGATAAGTTAAACTGGTCAGGACACATAGAACATATTAATAATAAAATTGTATCAATGTTAGGAGCTCTATATAGGTGTTCCAGTTACCTGAGTTTCAGTAATAGACACTTGGTTTACAATGCATATATATTGGCGAATCTTAGGTATCTGTTAATCATATGGGGGAATTGTGGCGTTACTAATTTCAAACAAATTCAAACGCTATAAAATAAATCAATAACATTTTTATTTCAAATTCCATTTCAAACCCACACAAATGATTTAATCTCACAGACCACCACCTACACCAAATTAAATATCATCTTAAACTTAAGCAATGCAAGAACATATATAAAATAAAAAACAAGAGAATCAAAGGATTATACAATCCTTTTACGCAGGCTATAAAAGTCTTCAATGAATTACCTGTCCATATAAGTGAGTTGCCAAGCTATAGTTCATTCATCAATAGTTTTAAAAAACATCTGAGCCTTGAGACACATGTCTGATGCGTTACTACTATGAGTTTTGTAGTGGTTTACTAGTTTTTGTGTTCCACTTCTCATATTGAATGTTTGTGAATCCCGAAACCAGCATTTTTGCTGATTAGGGAGCATAACAACATATTTTATATTTATAGTGTCTTAACTATATTGAACTGTACGCTGTTGTTATATTTTTAATAAAGAAAAAAGATGGTACCCTTTTCTCCATTTGAAAATAAAAGTTGATAGCACCCTTTCGGGGGCAAGTAATATCACACTATTGGCTTTTCTATCAAAAAGTAGTGAGCGAAAATGATTTCTTTTTACGAAAATTTAGTATTGTATATCATTTTAAACTTACCCTTAAGTTTGTACAATAAAAAACTAGATAGATATATGATATTATAATCTGTCTAAAATCAACTTGATTGCAATATTCCAATATCTTTGAAACTATAAAAATACTAAGGTATTCCATAACGTATTCATGTAACATTTTATTTTGAGATTTTCACTTGTTTACAAAACTGCAACAACGTTCATACAACAGTATGAACACGCCTTATGAGGCTATTTTACAGTGACGCACTTGTTGTGGTTTTGTAAACTGTTCAGTGAAAATCTTACAAAGTGTTATTTGAATACTATTCAGTAATGTTATATCGATTTCTTTTCTCAACGAGAATTTGTTTCAGACCAATAAAGTAAATCTATAGAAAACATTGGCTTTCGACACTCCTTTTACTAACCAAATTAGCATCTTCGGGAGATGACTAAAACCAAATTACATACATCTGGACAAACAACTGTACTATTATGCTTGAGTCTGCATCATGGAACATTCATGGTCTTCACTGAACTGTTACGAGTATTGAAAGCATGCTGTACAAATTTAATTTCAAGTTAACTAGCGATGTCTTGAAGGAACCAAGCCATACTATTGTACAGTAACGTATTATGGAGTTAGCCAAGGCATCAGTATCATTTTCCTGTTCAATATATTCCTAAGCTGATGAAATTAAAGATTAACTTGAAAAGAGAAATGAAAATTTCTATGTTTTTTACCACTTTCAATTGTAACTAATGTTACTGCAGTTTCGTCCTATATGGACATTCTCAAACTAATACAAAGATTAACTTGGTTAGCGAAACGCGTGTCGAGAGATAGTCTATCAAAAGATGAAAAAAACTGTCTCTCATTACTGTAATTCTTTCAATTTAGAATAATGAAGCCTCTCAGCATCCGAACGCTTCTAAACTTCAATGAGGACAATCTGCGAGCTAACAAATTGGAAGATGCTTGGTTGTTACAGAAAAAAACTGAGAGTTACCAGGCTTTGAAGGAGTTAAAAAATAGGATTGATCACATTGACTCGTTGGATGATTTTTATGAAAAATGGCTGGAAATTATACAAGGAGTCCTTGCTGGAAATGTTTTTGATTGGCCTGAACGAATTGTTCTTTTAGATGATTTGATTTATAGCCAGTCTTCAAGTATGCCCACTGACTATACGTGAAACAGATTTTTAAAAACAGAAACAGATTTTCTGAATGAAATAGCCTAACTTGATATAATCATTTCACATGTTCTCTTCCTGAAATTTAACAAATTACATATGATGAGAAATAGTCAAATTCCTTATGTTGAGAAAGTTTTTTTTTAAATGGGTTGGTGGAAATGTTCTCCAATTCACAAAATTTTTAGTTAAAGTTGTATCATCAGAAAACAGTACATACTTTCCAGATTGATTGATTGATTGATTCAACATACATAGGACAACAAATAAAAATATGTTTTTCACACACAGTACAATCGCAATTTCCACACATTCTAAATTACAGGGCATGGTCAAATTATTCTTGTAGGTCATAATAGGCTTTATCACTTAATAGTTTTGTTAAATCTGATTGGCCAGCTTAAGAAGGCTGGTTTATTTTACCCAATAGATGCAAATGTGCATGGTGATAATGCTTTGGTCACGCATCTATCTTTGTTTGGGTCACTTTGTTTGTGGGATTGATATAATTTAGTTGCCTTGCAGTGACAGACAGATGAAGAATATCATCGGCTGTCGATGTCGTAGCTTGGCTTTGCAACTGACCGCCTTGAGGAGCCTCGTTTATCTTTGATATTCTAGGATTGAGATCGCTGTCAATCCCATAGATGGCTTCTTCGTAAGGGGAGATGTCGACCTTTTTATGTTATATAATTTTGTTCAATAGTTACTTGATGACATGTCGAAAACTGTATTTAGTCTAGCCAAATAAACTGTCAAATAAGCTGAATAACTACAAGCAGTCTTCGTCGAATTTTTGTGAGCATTTACTATTGTTTGTTTTAAAAATTCCGGTCATTTATATTACTCCAGTCTTGTTAAATAATATTCCACATATCATAAATAATCTGAATAGTGATGGTTATCACTTCCTTGTATTTGCATTCTCCAAAAAACTGATTGAACTGTTGTTGTATGCATTATTAATGTAGCCCAGATAAGATAATGTTACAATGTTATCTGCAGAATAGTCATTTCAATATTTGTCTGAACATTTTCGTGATTTAAATAATTTCATTTGTCATAAAGTTATTTTACTTATTTGATATGGTTTAATCTTACAAAATATTCTAACACACGTGTTATTGCATTGAAACAATTTAATATTTTGCAATTGTAATTGAATAGAACTGGCCGATACTTGATGAAAATCCATATTGAAACTAATTAATACACTTCATTGTGTCGCGGTTTTTATGAAACACATTATAGTGAAAATCATACAATAAAATGTATTAATCAGTTTTTATTTTTCTTTTGTATCATTAATGGAATAATGATACATTTTTTCATCAAACATTCTGTATTCAACTCAACTTGATTTGCCAATTAAAGGTAAAATTGGAACCCCTTGGACGAATGAATCAATTATAACTATATGTGTATGTGTGAGCCAACCCTGGAAGATTCTGGCAGAAGTCCATAAGTCTTCTTGCCATCCAGGTGTTCAATCTTTGTTTGGCAAAGCCTAAAGCGATGCCAATGACAGGTTCTGGTCCGATGAAGCTGCTTGCCGTACTCTCCTTTGCAAGGCCAGTATGGCCAGGAATCCAGATCAGAGACAATCTGTTAAGTCTTCCTATCGAGGAGAGTCGTTTTTGGCAATTTGCTACCAATTTAGACGTTGCTCAGTAGGAGCCAAGAGCTTCCAACGCCGCACTATAAGTGATCATTGGTCTGACAATCATCACATAAATCCAATGGATTTGTTTGGGACGTAAACCCTAAGTTTTACCACAAATCCTTCGACATGTCCATAGGGACAGTCTGACTTTTTGTAAAACTTTTTCCAAGTGAGCGTTCCAGGTGAGTTTTTTATCAATCTGGGGTACCGCAATGATTAATACTTGGACCTGTTTTGTTTCTTATATATTTCAATTATTTGGCTACAGTTAATATATTTGGTAAGTTACAAATGTTTGCTGATGACACCACTTTAATTTACAATGGAAATAGTGTATAAGAAATCAAAATTAATATTTCAAAAGACCTTAATCAGAAATCTTTATGGCTACAATGCCATATAATAACAAACATTCCGGATTAATTTGAAAAAATATTTATTGTTTGTATAGATAGATGTATTATCTGATGAGTACATTCATGTTCATGTTGATAATCATATTCAAACATATATGTATAGATATATGTGTATACGTGTGTATATGTATGTATATTAATATTTTTTTCAAGTTTCAGTTTTGATTTATCTTTTTTGTGTGCTCTGTTTGTATTTAGTTATGTTATAGTTTTTCCCTGCTATAAACATTGTATGTTTCTTGGGAAAATAAATTATTATTATTATTAATTTGTAGGCAAAATTTATGAATACAACAAGTTATTGACTAATTGGTTAATATTGCACTGTTTCAATTAAATCAATTTATGTTTGAATTAATTTTTTATATCACAAAACCTTATGACCATCTTTATTGTTCTGCATTCTGTTAAATTTTAAGAATATACATGATTTTAAATATGCTCTTTTCATGTTTGTTTTTGTTTTCCAGAAAAAACCTTACAAAACTTGTGTTATATTCGTGGACAATTCTGGCGTAGACTTTATATTGGGAATACTACCTCTAACCAGGGAACTCCTTTCTCACGGCACGAAAGTTGTCCTAACAGCAAATACCTATCCCGCTTTGAATGACGTAACTTTTCAAGAGCTGAACCTGTATTGTTGCCAGGCAGCGGAACACTGTGAAATACTGAAGGATTCAATAAAGAATGGCCAGTTAATTACGATGGAGAACGGACAGAAGGGTCCTTGTTTGGATCTCAGGGATTTATCAGAAGGTCTGTTTTCAAGGTTGATTTGTGGAATTGCTATCAACAAAGTCATCGATATTTATTTTTTTCCAGGGTTATGCGATGTGATGAAATCTGCTGATTTGGTTATCATCGAAGGCATGGGACGTGCAGTGCATACAAACTTATACGCTAAACTAACTGTGGACTGTTTTAAATTAGCTGTGTTGAAAAATGAGTGGTTGGCCCGAAGTTTGGGCGCACGGCAGTTTTCAGTGATTTGTGATTTTGAACCTGCAAGTTGAATAATTTTCCGTACCTGATATTAAATAATACTTTAATTACAGTATGTTTTTTATTATCGTGCACAGGTGTTGGGCTTATATCTCCCACATTTTGAAAAGTAGAGTGAAAGAAATCTGAAATTGCTTTTTAAATTAAATCAATCATCCGCCATAAAACATTTTTAATAAAAAAGTACGAGTATATTGCGTTGATCAAACTGTGTCAAGACGTTTTTCAAATACTGGATTGTCCATTAAATTACAAAAAAACTATGCTCGTTAATTCTTCGGGAAACTATTCTTCTCTTTTGGTAAATATGAAAATCAGTCCAAGAATTACGAGTTTTAATATTTGGGATATTATAAGTTGAGTTATATGATTTGGAATTTAGGACTCGTTATAACATAATCTTTTTAGAAAAGAACATAATGTTATTTTTTTTTTCTGATTGATTCGGCCGTTACTTGATGAAGATCCATAGTAATATCAAAAACTACACCTCACGATTTGATCTCCACAAACTTTATTTGAAAAATATATCACATGTTTCGCTAGCACAGTAGCTTTATCAAGTGAAAAAATAATGTTATTCATTTTGAATGTACACCAGGCATGGTAGATTAGATTTTTTTGACAAAGAAACAAGGCAAGTTAAATTTAAAAATTGGCCACTCTGAATTCGTAGTTTTGTTTCACATTTTCACTTGATGTTTCATTGATCATGTACAATGGCACCACATACAGTGTCAAAATTAAAGAGCGCACCATATGGGAAACTTTTTTTTCGAAAAGTTTCAATGAAGTTTAACTTCGGCACTTGTTTGTGCTTTAAATTTAACTTAAAATGATGCGGCCAACTGTGACCCACTGACGTTCAGTGTTTGTCAAATTCAATAATGTATTTTAACATGACTGGTGCAAAGTTTCAATCACTTGGTTATTTTCTTAAAAAAACGTCAGTACCTTCAATTTTGAAAAAGCAGACACAACTCAAAAACTGCAATAAGTATTAATAAAATTACTAAAGTGGAAATTACATTAAAATTTCAATATTCAGTATTTACAGATTATTTATAAACACTAAGTTGGGCGGTAAGGATGCTTAATCACGTTGAATAAAATTTTTATGTAGGTCTTGACAAACGAAATGCATGCTATGGTAGTGTCAAGTTGTTGATTTACTTGTCAAATTTTTAACAGTTATTGTTGCAATAATGTCTCTTCAGGAAAGAGTAGAAATAGTTTTAATATGTGGTGAGAATACACCACACCAGCAAGTAGCTAACATTTTTAATGAACGGCATCCGGGAAAAAATGTTCAACATACTACTGTGTCAAGGATAATGTCGAAATTCAGAGAAATAGGATCCGTAGCAAATCAATTTAAGAAAAAGCACACTCCAAGTAAATATGATGAGGAGACCCAACTTAACATTTGTTTAAAAGTTATTGAACACAGTCAAACGAGCATAACCGATTTTATAAAAAATACCGATTACAAGAGAGAAAGTGTTAGAAATTTTTTATTAAAGAATAAATTTTGGCCTTACAAGCTAAAATTTATTAACACATTGAAAGAACGAGATTTTGATGTTCGTTCGGGGTTTTCATTCTGGTTTCAAGGAGAGAGAAGAAAATGTAAAGTTTCCGTATACAATTTTATGGACAGATGAGGCAACGTTCTCTTCAAATGGAACAGTAAGTGAATGTTACTGGAGTTTTTTCCCAATACCAAATCGTTATTTTCAACACCTCGACACGTGTTTCGATCACCAAGTGATCATCTTCAAAGAGGAAGAAAAACTTCTCCAGTTTTAATGGAGGAGATTAAAACTCCTTTAAATATTAAATACGACCTATGGTATCAGCTTGATGGCGCACCAATACATCACACGGTTGCTGTGAAACAGTCCCTCCAACAAATGTTCAGAGGCAAAGTTATTGGACGTAACTTTGAACATTATTGGCCACCTAGATCACCCTCTATCGTTCTCGGGGGGGGCGACAGCTGATTAACGACAAAACATATTTCAAAGTAAATCATTAAAGGCTTTTTAGAGTCGCCAAAATTCTCTGAATACGATCCATTTGAGGGTCATGAAAAAAAATCAAATCGAGCCAAAAGTACCTTCCCAACGAGAAGGAATCAGGAAGAACCCACAGTTTAGATTTTTCTTTAAATATCGGAGGAGAAAAGTTTTTTATTCGAGTCAAACTCTGGTTGCGTTGAAGGATTCAGTTGTCTGTTGGTCCATCTTAGTGTCCTTTTTCTAGTTTCTTTTGAATGAAACAATATGTCGACTGACAATTTTCAACTGTGAAATAGAGCGGCGATATCACAGTGTGACATGCGATGTCACAGGATGTCGTGGGGATACAACAGTGACGTGCTTTTGTGCTAATCGTGTGACAAGATTTACAATATCGCTACCATAGGTAGCGATATTGTAAATGTCACTGCTAGGATACATTTTGCAATTTTATTAGGTTATAAATGTTTTGTTGACCGTTATTAAGTTCTTTGTCTGCTGTTTTATTATATCAGCGGTCAAGATGATACATCAGTGAAGTTGTTACCAAAAAGGCTAACTTATATCAGTGAAGTTGTTACCAGGGGATTTTTTCCACCGGCCTTTTTGAAAAAATCAAATTGGCGATAATTTTTGCCTTTTAATATTCTCTCAAATAAGGTCAAAAGCAAATTGAAACAAAATTTACGAATTTGGGTGCTTTTCGAATACCTTCAAAACCAATTGGAATATCCTGAATTTTAAAACATCATTTAAATGAGAACTTTAAAAGGGGCTAATTTTTTGTAATTTGATCGATTTTTTTTATACCTCACTGGCCCTCGTTATATTGGACAGAGTATATTCACACTGTTGAGACTATTTTACCACAAAGGTAAAACTGACAGTTTTGCTATTCAAGAGAGTTTTCACTGTTTTAAAAAAGACTTAACTAGGAGCATTCCTGCACACGTCTATATAGTATGCACCGTACCAAGGATTCAATTTTCGTCATTTGTGTCCGATAGTATTCTAATTTTACACTTCAAACTTGAACGGAATGTTTGGGGTATGTAACTTTGTTCAAATGATCAACTGTTAAATTTATTTTGGTTTTACTGAAGGTAAAACGCGATGTTTTTGTTGTATGTAATTTTTCTGTCAGTAGGTATATTGAAGTGTTTGGGATCAAACATTATTACTTCGTGAGTTGATTTGAGTGTTATTTATGAAATATGTGTTACGGTTTCGTGTTATAGTTTCGAAAGCACGAAGGCGTAGGGAGGATTTGAAAGTAAATTGTTCTAATTCCGAGTTCGAAGTTAAAATTCAATAAAAATTAAAGCTCACGGTCATAATTCAATAACATTCCGAGTTGAAAGTCACAATTCAATGGTGGTAATTTTGTTGAATTTTGACTTCAATTTCGGAATTTTTGTTAAATTCCGACTGACATGAAGATTTTATTAAATTTTAACTCAGAATTTAGTGATCTTTCAAAAATATTTTTGATCCAAGCTCTGCATCTTCATAATGACTTTAAAATTCAATTCTCTAAATTTCGAATTTGTTGTTGAATTCTGACATTGATCTCAAAATTTTGCGTAATTTTTTAAAATCACTTGTCGACCCTCTACGCCTCCGTGAGGGCAAAACATTTTGTTGAAAATGAAATTGAATAATTCCGAGTTCGACATGAAATTTCAATAAAATTCCCAATTTAAAGTCGGAAATTAATAATATTCCGGGTTCCAAGTTGAAATGTATCACTATTGTGAGATTGAAATATCCGAATTTAATTATTAATTATGGGAAATCCATTAAGCCCCTTACTTGCAGAAATTTTCATGGATAATCTAGAGAAGTCGATCTTTAAACATCCTTTGATTAAGAATTTCTTGTATTGGCATTGATATGTGGATGACGTTTTGGCATGTTTTACAGGTACTAAGAGGCAATTAGATACTTTTCATAGGGATATTAACAAAATTCATGAAAACATTAAATTCACTATTGAAATAGAAGCAGACAACTCAATCAATTTCTTGGACTCAACAATTAGTAGAAGGAACAACAAACATGATTTTTCAATTTATCACAAACCGTCCTATACGGATATTACTATACTTTACGATTCTACCCATCCTTATCAATACAAAGTAGCAGCTCATTATAGCATGATTCACAAATTAGTCAATGTTCCTTTTTCAATAGATACTTTCAATAAAGAACTCAATATCATCAATCAAATTGCGTTTAACGATGGCTTTAACGTAATTTGGACAACCAACAGAAAAAGTGGCTTCATTTTTGAGGAAACGAGATATTAAAATTGCATATAAAACAAGTAATATGTTGGGAAAGTTAGTTGAAAATAATAAAGACAAGACATCCAAATTCGAGAAATAAGGAGTACCTACCTATATACATTAAAGTGTGGAACGTACCCTAAAGTATATATTGGTCAAACTGGCAGAACATTAAGGAATCGAATCCAGGAACATTATACGAACTATGTAAATAAGAAAACAAATTTAACATATTCAAATCATCTTCTAAAAGAAAATCATATCTTTAACGAATACTTCGAAGTTTTGCACATAGAAAATAAAGGTTGAAACTGAATCATTTGGAAGCAATGGAAATTGATAAACTTAAAAATTCAATCATTCTAATTAATGACCAACTAGATTTGAATAGATCACCATTATTGAACTTGTCTTCTTAAAATCCGAGATTTAGATGTGAGGTAATATGCTTTAGGTAATTATAATTCAACAGATACCTTAGGGAGATGTTCAGGTAGTTTTTGGAGGTAGCCTCAATTATGGTTACCTGTAGTTTATAAATATTAATGTAAGAACAATTTGAAGTATTCATACACTTGAGAAAGCTACTGTGCTAGCGAAACATGTTGTGGTTATATTTTTTGAAATAAAGTTTGTGGAGATCAAATCGTGAGGTGTAGTTTTTGAAATTACTATGGATCTTCATCAAGTAACGGCTGAATCAATCAGAAAATTATAATTATTATTGTACCCTATGCTTATAA